TGTGCACCGTGGTCAACATGCCGCTCACGCTGGCCGGCGTCGTGGCGCAGCGGCAGCCGGCCGGCGACCGCCTGTGCCGCCTGGCCGCCTTCCTGGACCCCTTCCTGGCCGCCAACTCCATGCTGAGCATGGCCGCGCTCAGCATCGACCGCTGGGTGGCCGTGGTCTTCCCGCTGAGCTACCGCGCCAAGATGCGCCTCCGCGACGCCGCGCTCATGGTGGCCTACACGTGGCTGCACGCGCTGGCCTTCCCGGCCGCCGCGCTCGCCCTGTCCTGGCTCGGCTTCCACCAGCTGTACGCTTCGTGCACGCTCTGCAGCCGGCGGCCCGACGAGCGCCTGCGCTTCGCCGTCTTCACCGGCGCCTTCCACGCGCTCAGCTTCCTGCTGTCCTTCGTCGTGCTTTGCTTCACGTACCTCAAGGTGCTCAAGGTGGCCCGCTTCCACTGCAAGCGCATCGACGTGATCACCATGCAGACGCTCGTGCTGCTCGTGGACATCCACCCCAGGTGAGGGGAGCCCCAGGGGAGGGCTCCGGTGGGAGCGGGAGGCCCCCGGCCTCCAGGGTGCAGCCTTGGGCAGGCCCCCTTTTCCCCGAGTTTCGGATAAGGAGGGTGGGGAGAGTGGCCAATGTGGGACTTCAGCCAGGGCTTAGAGCATCCCCAAAGCAGGGCCACAGAAATGTGGGTGAAACCATCCATACGTTGTTTTTCGAAGTATCAGGGTAGAGATCACAGAGTCAGAACTTTGTTGGGCTGCTTAGACTCATTTTGTGTGTCTGTAGTTTTCACTTTAAATGGTTTTTGTTCCAGGCTTTTAAGAGGTTTGAATTAGGCCCTCAGAGGGTGGCCCAGATGCTTAGCAAGCTCCTTGAGAGCTCTTCAGACCGGAGCATGCTCCTACTCCGGGTCTTTCCTCTCTCTGGCATCTGGCACTGCTTCTGTCTCCCGACCCTGTGTGTGTGTGTGAGTTCTGGGCAGATGAAATCGGCTGCATCTTCCCCTGCAGTGGGCTTGGTGTGTGTGTGTGTGTGTGTGTGTGTGTGTGGCGGGAGGGGGGCAGGACTGGCCCTTTCTGCCCTCCCCAGACAACACTGACCAGTGTCCCCCCCAGACTTGGAGCCCAGGGGGGCCCTGCAGAAGAAGTGTCCCCTAACCCCCAGCCTCCTGGGACTCTACCTGCCCACCCACCTCCATCCTCACCCCGGCTGCTGCTGTTTCTCAGGGAGGCAGATGGAGACAGGCAAGCACAGGGACCAGCTGGGGGCCCCTGCCATCCCCAGGAGCTGTGCAGAGAGAGAAGGAGGGAGCTCTTAGCTAAGCTGTCCTGAGCTCACCTCGGCTTTCCTCATGAGAATGGGAGAGCAAGGAGGAAACAGCTGGAAGTGTCCCTGTGGACTCTGCTATTTTATAGCCTGTTGTCCCAGGGGAAGGCAGGCTCCCCCTCTGTCGTCTGGGATCCTAGATAAGGAAGCATGGTGTCTAGATGGTTCCGAAGGTGAGGCAGGCAGAGAGCACAGATGAGGGGAGGCTCAGGTCCTCCCTGTGAGCAAAACACTGAGAACCCAGTGAAGCCTCGGGGCAGGGGAGGGAGCTCGTCTGTAGGGTGTGTCTGTCCCCCTCCAGGGCTGAGGGGCTCAGGCTGAAGGTGTCGCCTGAGCAAGCACTCTTTCAGCTGTGAGTTTTTCCTGCCCGTGCCATGAGCAATAACAAGCAGTTCTTAACTCCACATGCCCTGCACACAGAACAGCATGCACACACGTGTTCACCGTCCCCCTTGGACCAGCCATTCCTGATTGCGCTCCAGACTGATCTTCCAGCCACAGACCTTCCCCATGGAATCACGTACAGAATGTACATGTGAATGACCGAGAGCACACAGACACCAGGGCATGTAAGTGTGGGAACTTCACACACGAAATCCCATGCGTTCACACATAAACTGCACGTGTAACAGACGGCTTGCCATGTGTACACAGGTCAGAGGCGTGGCATGCAGGCACATGATGCAGACATGCATCAGCTCTCACTGCAAGTGTTCGGGCACAGCTCAGTGTCATTTAAGGGAGTATTCCTGCAGGCCCAGTTGCAGAGCTATTCCCCTTCCTGTCACCCAGGTGTGGGAGATCTCCCTTTAAAAAGTGCAACCCTAGGACTTGGGCTGGGGTCACTCTTAGAAGATGTAGGGTCATGTCATTGTCATGTAACTTCCGGCGCTTGAACAATCCCTAGAGTGGGCCCCTCACCAGGAGTCTAACAGCAGAGGAGGGGTTGAGCTGGGAAAGGAACCAAACCACATCTCTGCCCTCCCTCCACCTTCTAGCAGAGGAGGGTGCTGGCTCCCTTTCAGCCCATTTGGGGCATAGGGCCGGCTCCACTCTTGCAAATCTCTCCGGGTCAGACTCCAGGCCAGACACTGTAGAGAGTTCTCAGGAGCACAGGCAGCCACTCTGCTGGCCTCCCCGCCCTCCTCTCCCTTCCCCTCTGTACCTTAACCTCTTCTAGGCTCCAGGCTGCTTTGAGGAGCAGGCCCTGCTCCCAGTGCCCTGGGGCCCTCCAGGCCCAGTCTCATCGGAGAGCGGAAGGGTTTGTGGGGCACGGATCACCCTCAACCAGATCTAACGGGCCCCCTGACCTAAAGCGTCCTGAGGTTATGGAGAAGTGGGCGGATGTGACAGCACTGCCCCTTCAGTGGCATACACTTGTCCTTCTCTGAGGGGTTAGTTTCCACTGAGAGAGGGTGGGTGATGGTCCACACAGGAGGGGACAGCCAGTCCACAGGGGACTCCCTGATAGCCAGTCCACTGCTTTTCTCTTGGCACCTCCAAACTCTTCCTCCCCACCAATGAGAAACTACAGAGCTCATTCCGGGGGCTGTCTCCAGAGCCCCCAGCCTCAGGCACCTAGGCTTCTGGGCCAGCTTGTGCTGAGAGCCTGCGGGAGCTGGGGCTGCCAGTCCCGGGTCAGCAGAAGCCAGGCTTCTTTCTCTGGAAAGCCAGGTGGAGTCTCTGCTCCCTGGCAGTTTTACTGAGCCACCACACTGATGGCCTCCTGGGACTTAATTAAAAGGGAAGCATTTTGAGTTCCAAGGCCCCGGGGTGGCATTGGTCAGGAGGCTCCCTTGTGGTGTCTGCTCTTCCTGCGGGATGTGTGATGCAGTGAGTAGCAGGCCTCGCCCGTTTGCTTCCACCAACACCATATGCCGGGTTCAAATGTAGAATTCTCAGCCCCTGGGAGGTCAGTTTTCCCTTTGTGCCGGGGAGAGCGAGCTGGCCCCAGCTCACCTCCTGACTGCGGGCTCTCCCAGCACCACGGGGGCCGCCCTTGCACAGGTGTACACTGTAGCTTGTACATCCACACTCCATGCACACAAGTCGCTCACAAACACCACCCCTCAGGCTCAAGCCAAGCACACAGATGCCGTAGTCCTCCCTCAGGAGAATGGTACCAGGATCAGGGCATCTGTGCAAAGAATTCCATGCTCCAGGCACTTAGAGCTTGGTCTAGGATGGAAGGCAGGAGGATCTCTTCATTTCAGGGGAGAGGTGTAGGCCCCTTAGTGTGCAGGGCTCGGGGGAAGACCCCTGTCACTGGATCTGAGGGCAGGACTGCTCACATCAGTGTCTGACCCCAAATTCAGGGCTCTTTCCCACCAACATTCAGCTTGTCACCTTGCCTTAAAAGCCAGAAACAAATCTGGGTCTCTGGGTGAGTACTGAGTGTAGGCTCTGGATGGTTCTCTGGGGATCATTCAGGACCCGGATGCGCTGTGAGGGCAGGGAGGTGTCTGCAGCTGGAAGATGTTAGCCAAGGTCACCTTTTTACTGGCTTCAGATATTCCCAGAATTCACCATCCCCTTTGTCCTCTCACTGAAGCCTACTGGGGAACATCTGTTTGACCCCACATCACAATGCTGGAGAGCCTGTCTCCTTTTATCTCAAGGAACCTTTATCTTGTCACATCTTTAGGGACACCCCCACCTCCCCCACCCCCGGCCAGGCCAACACATATGCTCACACTCTGGCTGAATGTACCTGGCCAGGTTGCTGGGGGAGCTTTGGGCCTCTTACCCTCTGTGCCACAGATTCCTCCTGGAAGTCCGAAGACTCCAGGAACCACCACTGGGCCCACGGATGTGTGAAAATTCTCATGACTCAGTGATTCTATGGGAGGCAGTAGGTCTGGGGGCGACAGGAGACCTGGGATGAGGCCTGGTTCTGTCCTGAACTCACTGCATGACCTCATCATAATGCTGGCCTCAGTGTCCTCATCTGCAAATAAAATAACAGCTCACAGGGCTGCAGACTTTCAAGGAGCTCGGTTTTGCAAAGCTATCATGGGGAAAAAATGATGGCAAGTGCAAAGTGATTTTGTTATGATGTTGTTCTGGAAGCCGGGTGGGCGAGCTGCTCTCAGGCTGAGTTTAAACAATAAAAACAAAAGTGAGAGGGTTGCGCTGCTTCCCTTGGAGCCTGGAGACCCCCCTGCCTCACTCACCTCTGGCCACCTCCCTGTTCTCACTTGGAAAGCAGGAGAGCCCCAGGTAGGGAAGATGGATTCTGTCTCTTTCCTATAAATGCATGGAGCAGAAAGAGAACTTTTGCAGTGGGAGGGAGCCCTGTGGTTTTGGAGTTCAAGGCCGTGTTCAGTAAATATATGTTGAATGAATAATAATAATAGTTAGCATTTATTGAGTGCTTACTCTGAGTTAGGTGATGTCCTCAGTACTTTTCATTTGTTAACTCAGTTAATCTCAGTACATCCTATGAGGTAGGTACTCCTATTTAGAGATGAGGAAGCTGATGCACAGAGCAGCTATGTAACTTATCTAAGGCCACACAGCAATGAAGTGACAGTGCATGGATTTGAACCCAGAAGTGTGGCTCTGGTGCCTCATGCTTAACCACTAGGCTGTTAACCAAGAAAGGAGTCCAGGCCAGTGGAGGTCTTTCATGGCTTTACATCTCCAACAATCCTTGCTTTTTCTGATAGGCTCAAGGTTTTTTTTTGTTTGTTTGTTTGTTTGTTTGTTTTTCCCCTTTTTGTCTTTTTTCGTGTCTGGCAACGGATCGCAATCCTCAGTGTCGTGCCCGTACCAGACCGGGACCGGCAACGGGATCGCAACCCTCGGTGTTGCTCCCACACCTCGCTCAGCCAGTGAGCGGGAACCGGTCTGTATGTGGGATCCGAACCCTCGGCGGGAACGCCGCAGCGCTTCCCAAGCGGTGCACTGTATCAGTGCGCCACCGGGCCGGCCCAGGCTCAAGGTTTTTAAGGCTCACTTTAAAAAATCTATTTTAGAACAGATTTCTAGCTTACTATCATCTCTTTTGAAAAGGTCACTTTAAAAAAAATGATTCAGATTTAATTTTCCTAAGAGGTTTCTTAAGGGGTGTTCATTAAGTCATACAACACACACTTATTAGGTATTCTCTGGGTGTAAGACATTGAGCTTAGAACTCTGGGCACTCGAAGAAATAATGTGTCTGCAGAGTGCTTGCTATTTAATTTTTCCCTGCTACCCAAATCCTTCCATGGGCAAATACAATTAATTCTTCTGTAGATGTTCACGGCCTAGGGGAGTGACATGGACTCTCTTAGCCTGTGCAGTGTCCAGTTTATTCCTTCAGAGCCACTGAAATGTTTCCATTTATCCTTGTGACAACCTCCAAAGCTTTCACCAACATTTGTTTTTAAATATTCTTCACGGCCTCATGTTTTTGGGGAGTGATTATCTGGTGTGGCAGGGTGAGGGGCCTGCTGCTCCAGGCTCTCGGGAGGGACCCCAGTCCCTACAGGGGGGACCCGAGGAAACGTCTCACTCTTCCAGGGCCTGGTGAGCTGGTGAGTCATATCTGTCCCTGAAAAATGTCTGTTCCTGCACTGAATGGTAACTCTCGTTATAGCTATTACGAAATCCCCTTTGAATACATGAAAAACCAGATTCAGAGAGGTTGAGTGACTTCCCCGAGGCCACACAGCTAGGAGGGTAGAGCTGGGACTAGGACACCTAAGCCTGCTCTTTCACTCACCAGGGTTTTTCTAAAGCACCTGAGAACTGGATGACATTGTCAGAGTCATGAATTGGAGGTGGGTCTGGCCCGGTTAGTATGGGGTCCCCTTGATGAGTCATTCATATGAATTGGATGCTTATGTTTTGGGGACCTTCAGAATGCTCTGCTTGTCTCCTGGGGAGAGTGCCCTGTGATGGCTCAGGACCCCCTCCTCATGTACTGAATCTCCAGCACATCTTCCATCAATTGCACTGAAAGTTTTCGGGAAATATGTTAATATTAAAACAAACAGGCCTCTGTAGTGGAGAATAATGCCAAACATGCTGCACCCTAGGGTCACTATCATCCTAGTTTGCCTGGGTCTGAGGGGGTTCCCAGGCTGCAGGACTTTGAATTTTAAAACCAGGATAGTTGAGTTGGTCACCTCATTGCACCCAGACCTCTGGGCCCCCCACCTCACCCCACCTGCATCCTGCACATATCACAGGAGCCAGAGGACTTTGGTGGAAAACTTTGCAGAATTCCAGATGTGACTGGAAAGTCAGGAGATTTAAGATTGACTCTTGCTGTGTGGCCTTAGTCAGAGTCATCCCTCCATCCCTCCATGTCCCCAGCTGTATTCTTCAGTTTTTCTGGGTGAGGTGAGGTCTAGGAGTATGTGATGCCACACGCTAGTTGAGAGGTGACACATGAGGCTCCAGAGCCAGACGGCCTGGGATCAGATCCTGCCAGCACCCAGGGTGACCAATGATCCCGGTCTACTCAGGACAGAGGGACATTCTGAGATGTGAGACTTTCCCTTTTAAAACTGGGATGGTCCCCTCCAAACCATAAAGGATGTAGGACTTTCAGTGCTAAAATGGCTGCAGTCCCAGAGTAACTGGGATAAACTGCTCACCTTACTGCTACTTTTACCAATTATGTGATCTTTGGGATGTCACTTAACTCCTCTATGCCTCAATCTCCTTATCTGAAAAAAAATGGGGACCATCATGATACCAGTCCCAGCTCACAGAGATGCTGTATCACATAAATGAATGCATATGAGTCCCCATCACTGCACCTAACATGGCACGTATTAGAGACTCCAGAAATGTGGGCTGTTATTAGTATTAGTTAGTACAAATTAACTGGTAACATTAGTCATGAGCAACACGTTTTCAGGAGTATGAAAGCTGTTTGTACCAAGCCCAACTCCAGTTCCCAACTCTTTAAGTTCCTGAAAAACCAGAAGTCAAGAGGAAAAAATTCTTCAAGAATTTCAGGAGCCTTCCTCCAAACTCATATGGAATTGTCCGTCTGTGATAGGAAATCTGATTCAGATGAGTTTTGATTAAGTACTAAAAGGATGGCTCTCGTGGAGGGGGAGGCTGCCCTGGCATTAAGGATGCACATGAACCTGGCTCATGAATATCCTCTCTGGTGCTTGCTTTCATTGAACAGGCTGGCCTATTTTTGGAGCCAGGTCACTGCAGCCCAGGCCCAGCTCTGCCAAGTCATCTTTACTTCCTGCTAACTGTGTCCACACTCTTCCTACCTGTTCATTTTTGAACCTCTGGGAGGGTCCCAGGCCACAGTGGAGCAGGAACAGGGTGTGGTCAGAGGCGTTGGTGTCAGGTAGGGGTGTGGTTGGAGGTGTAAGAAGCTCTCGATTCCATCCTCGGAGTTGTGTCCCTGATTCCCTGGGGACTCGGTAGAGTACTCTCTTAACTTCTTCAAGCTTGGTCTCTGGGGGGCTCAAGTGACTCCTCCTTCAGTGACCCCAGAGTGTGGTGTACATAGCTCCAGGCAGGGCTGAGGATGGAAGAAATAGGGCTGAAGATGTAGAGGGAAGGAAGCCCGTGCCACACTGCATGACAGAGTCCAGGCTGCCCCAGGTGAAAAAGGCCAGCTTTGAGTTGCTCGGATGCAGGTTCAAATTCTCATTTCGCCTCACAGGGCTCATGGCTTTCATTGTAAAACAGGGCAGGTGAAACCCACCTGACAGGTAAAATGCACCTAGCAGTATGGATTGTGGTAAAGATGAGAATGAGAGATCCTAGTTGAGGGTGGGACACTCTGGGGCCGGCACACAGCAGGTGACAGTGGATGACGGGAGTGACAATATTAAGAATTAATGTTCATTTGTACATACTGGGCACTGTGCTAACTACTGTCTGTGCTTTACAGGTTGAATGCATTTCATGCACCGACGTGCTTTATGCATTTAATTCTCAAAACAACCCTTTGTGACATTTTATTATGTTACATATAACATAAAACACATAAATAAAACATACAATGTATATTATTATATTACAGATGATGGCCTTGAGGCTTAGCGATGTCATGCAGCTTGCCCAAGGTCACACAGCTACAGCCAAGACTTGACCCTGGGTCTCTCTGGCTCCATAACCGAGTTCCTATGCTAGAGGCCACAAGCCTGTGACTCTGAATAGTGCCTCGTTCTGCGCCGGCCCCGTGAGTCACCTTCTCCCCTCTCTCACACGCAGTGTGCGGGAACGCTGTCTGGAGGAACAGAAGCGCAGGCGGCAGCGCGCCACCAAGAAGATCAGCACCTTCATAGGGACCTTCCTGGTGTGCTTTGCCCCCTACGTGATCACCAGGTGAGCCTGCCTGGCGGGGCATGTGCGGCGGGGCTGCTGGGGCGGGCGGGGCAGGTGGCGCTCTGCAGAGCCAGCAGGGCCTGGATGACCTTTAGCATTTGGGACAAGAATGAACCTGCCAGGCAGAGTGAAAAGGGGCATGTGCTTCCCTCTTTAGCCTCGAATTCACTTGAATTCAACTCAGAACCAAAAGTGTATGAAAGACTCTCTCTGACTTTAATGTCACATCCCTTCATTCTATCCCTTTCTCTTCACCTCCCAGCCCCTGGGGGGCCCTGAAGGAAAGGAAAAAGGGGAGGAAGGACAGAGGGTTGAGTTCCTACTGCCCGCTGAGTGTGGCACGGCCAGCCCCCAGGAGTCCCCAGCCTGGACACCCTGGTCAACAGCAGTTTCCTGTCATCTGCCCAGGGAGCATGCACTGTGACCCCCCCAGGAGGGTCACCAGGGGTCTTCCACTGGTAGGCTTGGTGCTGTGAGGCCTGTCATGCTCTCTCCCAGATCCCCAGCCCCCGAGCCAGCCAAGGTTGCGGTACGCTGGCCTCGGGCTGTGCGTTTCACTACCTGCAGGATCTGTAACATTTCCCCCAGGTGTCTTAGCCAGGAAAAAATAAATAAATCACCCTGTTCATCAGCTTTGTGGATGGAAGGAAAAGAAAAATCCCGTAGCTTTGCATGCAAGGTGGCTTAGCTATTTGGGAAGGTTGACAATAAGAAAGGAACTTTGATCTATTAGGAGGTGGGGTGTTGGATATGGAAGCTTTTATTGGGCCTGGGAAGTCAGATCTGTGCCAGGTTCTCCGTGTGTGTGTGTGTGTGTGTGTGTGTGTGAGAGAGAGAGAGAGAGAGAGAGAGAGAGAGAGAGAGAGAGAGATTGAGAGAGAACACATCCTCAGCCGCAGGGATCGGGAAGCCACCACACATGCCCCAGTGAGAAGGAGCCACTGTGAGCAGCTCTCCCTGTTTCTGTCTGTCCTTGTGCTGAGCTAAAGCCTGTCTCACTGTAGCCTCAGCCGCTGCTCCCAATTCTGCTGTCTGTGGCCAGGAGAATGTCCTCTGCTCCTGGGAGCCCCTGTGGACCTGCAGGCAGGGAGCCTGGCTTCCCCACGCCAGCTCCGCTCCTCTTCCCCAGACAGCACAGCTTCAGGGGGCCTTCCGCCATCTTCCGTGGCACCTCGCTTCCTCTGGGGGGCAGATAGTCGGCCTGTGCCTCACTTTGAACATGAGACCTACAACTGTCTGTAGGTCTCTGGATGGGTCTGACAAGGCCGGAGCAGAGCCATCAGTTCTTCCTTCTGGAACTGCCCACTAGAGCTCAGCACTGCTGACATTTTGTGCCAGATGCTTCTTTGCCGTGAGCGGCTGTCCTGTGCATTTTAGAATGTTTAGCAGCATCCCTGGCTTCCAGCCACTCAAAGCCACCAGCAGCACCTGTCCCACTCCCCACCCCTCCACCTCTGTTTTGATAACTAAAAATGTCTGCAGACATTGCCAAATGTTCCCTAGGGACCAGAATCAGCCCTGGTTGAGAACCACTGGCCTAGACCCACTACATCCAACCAGGAAACCACAGCTTGCATAGTTCAGGGTTTTCCACGGGACGCGAAGCCCACACAGAGTGACAGGAGAAAGAGTTTCCGCTGCTCTCCAAGGAAAGCATAATAGAGTAGTTAGCAGCAGGGCTCTGGGGTGCACCTCCCTGGGTCCAAGCCCCAGCTCCAGCCCTCCCGCTGTGTGACCTTCCTCTGGGCTTCCAGAAGGGAGCTCAGTATTGTGAGGGTTAAAGGACATGGAGCACTGGAGAGTGTGGCGTAGGCTTGGCATTGATGACATCTGTGGTCTTCACCCTTTCTCCCTCTGAAGCTCACAGCACCACTCAGCGCCTGCCCGGGACTGGCTGCTGCTCGAACTGAAGGGGATTCGATCCAGCGAGGGAAGATGTGTCAGACAGGGAGGGTACGCAGAGCCCCCTCCTCTCAGGTCCCAGAGTCAGGGGAGCCCTGGGCTAATGAGTGAACTGGAACCCTCAGAGGAGTTAGGTAATATGGCTCAACCAACTTTAAACTACCATATTTTTCTCTGGCTTAATCTCATTTCCCAACAAAATTTTTATTTTTTCTGATTACAGCATGATTTCCTCTAATTGTGCCCAGGAAATAATGTTTTAGTATAATTGGTAGTAGATTCACAACTCAATATGTCCCCTCCAGGTGGATTTGGTGCATTTGAGTTTTTAAAAATTTTGACAAAACTGTTCAGCCTTCGTGGGGATGAGCAGCAACTTAGCAGGGAAAGAAAGGAATGCTCAGGAAACCTCATGAATGCCAAGTGTAGCTCTGGTGGTGCCACCCTGCCGCACTGCCACCACGTCACCCACTCCTGTCTTGACTTTCTCATGCACATGAAGGAGCCATCCTAAGAAAACTTCCAACATATGCCCACATCCATCCTTTCAGCACACATTTCTTGAGCATCTTCTCAGGGCAGAGCACAAAAGAGCCCCTACAGAGGACGCACAGGTTAGTGAGACCCCAGAAGTCCCCCTCTGATGGGGACATTGACGCTGTAGATATGGCCTCTAACCCAGACAGAGCACCATGTCATTGGATAGGTACAGGGCCCCAGGTTCTGAGGCAGGAGAGGGCTCCCCTTGGCTGAGGCTTCACGGACAAGGCTTGTGAAGTGGGCCTGGTTATGCAGGGGGACGATCCAAGCAGAAGGGACAGCATGAGCCAGGCCTAGAGCTGTGCCGTCCACACAGGAGCCACCAGCCACAGGTGGCTACAGAGCACGTGAAACGTGGCCTGTCCACATCAAGATGGATTTCCAAGACTTAGCATGACCAAAATGATATATACTTAATATTTTTACATAAATTCTATGGTGAAATGGTAAATAAAAAGCTATAGTTAAAATTAATTACCTGTTTGTTTCCACAAGCAGAAACTTTCAGATGGCACCTATGCCTCATGTTCTTGCTCTGCTGGCCAGGGCTGCTCTGGAGTCAGGGAGGTCTGGGGTGCAAGGTGCACTGATCCCCTTGCTCCAGCCCCCTCTTTCTCTAGATCTCTGACCACTCATACTATCCTTCAGAGTCCAGGAGCCCTCTGGGATCCACGTTCCAGCCACTCTCCGAGGGAGCTCAGACTTCTTCCTTCCACCTTCCTTCCCTGTCCAGTGCCCTGCTCAGTGTCTGAGTTTATCCGGGAACACATTTCAGAGTCCAGGAGCCCTCTGGGATCCACGTTCCAGCCACTCTCCGAGGGAGCTCAGACTTCCTCCTTCCACCTTCCTTCCCTGTCCAGTGCCCTGCTCAGTGTCTGAGTTTATCCGGGAACACATGCTGAGCAGCTCTAGTCAGGAGGGGTCTTCCTCCGTGGGGTCAGGAGGGCCTGAATGAAGGGGACATCGGGCCCAAAGACAGGGCAGAAGAGAGGGGAGTTTGAGGCAAGCAGATCCTCTTGGTGGGCCCTCCTGAAATCACGCCCCTCCTGGGACCACCTCCCCTTGCCAACACCCCACCCTCTACCCTTCCATGATTGACAGGAGAGAGTCCGGCAAGGTGCTCAGCCTTCAGGGTAGCTGGGAGCCCTTGCACATCCCAGGGAGATGGGCACCTGTGAACGTGCCCTCTGAGCTCCAGTTGTGCCCTAGAAACAGCCAGGATCATATTAGAGCTATACTTCACTGCCAGGGCATCGAATGCTGGGTGGGGTGAGGCAGGATTTAATCTGACGCCCACCTTCACAGAACCTGATGCAAACTCTCCCGTCTTACTCTTAGTTGGGGTTGGGAAGCACACATTGACTTTGAGGAGAAATCAGCTTATAGTAAGGAATAAATAAAATAACCCATGCAAAGTACTCTGTTGGTTTATCTTACTATCATCCATTCTGAAATCAGGATCACTAACACTTCTGGTGGTGATTGTTTGATTCTGCTATTCTCAAGCCGGTTTTCAAGTCTAGGCATGACCAATCCTATCGGGCCCAAAGACAGGGCAGAAGAGAGGGGAGTTTGAGGCAAGCAGATCCTCTTGGTGGGTGCTCCTGAATCACGCCCCTCCTGGAACCACCTCCCCTTGCCAACACCCCACCCTCTACCCTTCCATGATTGACAGGAGAGATTCCGGCAAGGTGCTCAGCCTTCAGGGTAGCTGGGAGCCCTTGCACATCCCAGGGAGATGGGCACCTGTGAACTTGCCCTCTGAGCTCCAGTTGTGCCCTAGAAACAGCCAGGATCATATTAGAGCTATACTTCACTGCCAGGGCATCGAATGCTGGGTGGGGTGAGGCAGGATTTAATCTGACGCCCACCTTCACAGAACCTGATGCAAACTCTCCCGTCTTACTCTTAGTTGGGGTTGGGAAGCACACATTGACTTTGAGGAGAAATCAGCTTATAGTAAGGAATAAATAAAATAACCCATGCAAAGTACTCTGTTGGTTTATCTTACTATCATCCACTCTGAAATCAGGATCACTAACACTTCTGGTGGTGATTGTTTGATTCTGCTGTTCTCAAGCTGGTTTTCAAGTCTAGGCATGACCAATCTCAAGATGCTGAAGATAGACTCTGCTCTGGAATGTAGTTGAGGATTTAACTTCTTGCAGGAAATGATTCCTATGGAGAACCTGGAGGCGGGAGGTCCTGTAGCTATCGTCTCATCCAGGGAAGTCCAGCTGGTTGTCCTGTGCAGCTGACTTGAATCCACCATGAACAACCAGCAGAACACCATATAGGGAGCAATGCCGAAGCCAGGCTAGGACTATGGGAAAGTGTGTGAATGCCTGGGAATGTCTTCCCCACCCAAGGAGGAGACATACACGTGCTTGTGGGTTTTCTTCCTAACTTGGTGCAGTGGTTTGCCAAATTGGTTTCACACTGGAATCATGTGGAGAGCTTTAAACCCAAACCTATACCCTGACCTGACACTGGACCAGTTAGACTCTCCAGGCAACGGCCTGGGCATTGGTGGCTTTAAAGTCCCCTAGATGACTCTAATGG